TGGGCTAGGCGGCAGTCCTCAGTGGGTGATGCGTATCCCTAATGGGGCATCAAGACTTCCCAAGGAGTACTCTGGGCAGGGGTAAAGGATCCGTGGTGGTGCAGTGGGTAAGCACTCAGCTGCTAACCGAAAGGTCAGCGGTGTGAACTCACCAGCCGCTCCGTGGGAGAGAAGACCTGATGATCTGCTCGCATAAAGCTTACAGCCTAGGAAACCCTGTGGGGCACATCTGCTCTGTCATAGGGTCACTAGGAGTTGGAATCGACTCGATAGCATACAAAAACTGGGCGGGGGTACTGTTGAAGGAAACCAGTTTCTAACTTTTCAACATCCATACGTAATCTTTCTTAAAACTGGGATGTCTAAGGATGCATCTCTGGAAGAGTCTAGCCAGTTCTTGGCTGCCTTCCCTTTCACACTCACACCTTTAAGAAAAAATTGTATTTGTTTTTGCTCGTCCCAAATCTTACTTACGTACATTGTCATAAAATGTAAAAAAGAAAAAAAAAAAAAAACCCCAAAACCCTCAGGTGCGACAAAGGGACAGTTCAACATAGGAGCCATGGTTTTTGTCTGAAATCCTTGTGTCCAGATGCTTTTTTGAATTCCCGATATTCTGGATTTGGGAAAGGCAGTCCCGTGCATACGTGACATAATGCCCTCCGAGGGCCTGGGGTGGCACTCTGACCCAGCCTGCTCGTGTTCTCAAGCAGAACATACGAGTATTCATGGTAAAGGGACGAGACTGTAAGTAGTCTTGCCTCGTGTCAATTTTGAGTGAAGCGAATCTTGAAAACGTGGAGTTTTAATAGTTTTTTGGATTTCAGAATTGCCAATGAGGGATCATAGACCTGAACGGGTGCCAGTGCTGTGAATGTGAGCAACTCACAACTGGATAGCAGATCCTCTTGCAAATCACCTGGCTTCTAATGAATACTTTGTTCTTAACAAAATTAAAATTGTAATTAATGGAGTTGCCAGCTAATAGATCGTTAAAAGTACTTTTTATGATACCCATTGCCATCAAGGCAATTCTCACTCATAGCAACCCTACAGGACAGCGTAAAACTGCCCCATCGGGTTTCCAAGGAGCAGCTGGTGGATTCGAACTGCCGACCTTTCGGTTAGCAGCCGAGCACTTAACCGCTGCGCCACCAGGGCTCCTTTTCTATAATAGAACAACTGGAAAGGAGTTCGGGGAACTGCATGGCATGGTTGTGACAGTTTCTTACCTGCCTGTTTCTGTGACCAGGGCTTCTTAGCACTTACACATGTAAAAACAGAATTAACGCTGAACCTTGCCTCATTCCAGCAGTAAGTAAGATTTATCCATGGATACATGAACCAATTGAAAAAAATCCAGAGGAAAGTTTTAACCGGGCCTTATGATGCATTTCAGTTTATATGCATGTTTTTGTTGCAGAGGAGTATATGATTAGTAAAATTGTCTAACTATTCAGAAAGCTTACGTATTTTAAGTAGATGATATAAGTGTTAGGTTATTACAGTAGATTTATATTTCGTTGGCTGTATTTAGGAGTGACTAGTAATTTAAGGGAGTTCTGGTGGTGCAGCGGTTAAGCGTTTGGCTGCTCACCAAAAGATCGGCAGTTCGAATCCACCAGCCGCTCCTTGGAAACCCTATGGGGCAGCTCTGCTCTGTCCTATACAGTCGTTATGAGTAGGAATCGGCTCAATAGCAACGGGTTTTGGGTTTTAGTAGTTTAAGAAGTCTGTAATATGCTGTAAATTACCTTTTGCAACTCTTTAAGTTATGAAAACTTTTATAGAGTTAAAGGGGGAAGGAAGCCCATCACTTTTCAGAAATAATGTCAGAGGCTGTGTGAGTAAACGGAGCCCTGGTGGCGCAGCGGTTAGGAGCTCAGCTGCTAACCAAGAGGCCGGCGGTTCCAATCTAACAGCCAGTAAAAGAGCTTATAGATCACTTGTGTGGATAGGGCCCTACTGGACTGGACCTCTCTGAGGTGGTCAGGGATGGCTTCACAGACACAGTGGTACCTGGGTGGCATTGGAAGTATGAGAGAAGTTTCCAGGCAGAGAAGAGGATAGATGCCATCCAGCCAAAATGAAGGCTCCAGAGGGAGAAGCAGCTTGGGTTTTGGGACATGGGGATGAGGATTAAATTCAGGTTGGATATGTTAGGGACATCCAGGTAAGGTAATGAGTTCGGAGCTCAGTTTGCTTTATGGTGAGATGCGGCAGAATGCATACCCTTTAGGGTGGAGGGCTCGAGGAGGGGAAGGATCAGGTGACTGCTGCAGAGTGCAACGGAAAGTTACAAATCGTGGCGTGTCGAAATCGGAAGGGACTTCAGTCCTCGCCTGGGTCGGTTTCCCTTTGCACAGAGCGCTTCTGTGGCCCTATTTCCTTGATGGTTTGGTAGCGGAGACGTTAGATTTGAGCCATGGTCTTCTGTCCCTGACAGAATTCCCAGAATGTTAGATCATGCGTTAGAAGAATACCATGAGGAAGTGGTTCAAGAAGGAGGAAGTGGGTGGCGTCCTCATGTTACTGTGTCCTCACAGTGTGACATTAACTGGAAAATGTTGAAGTAGTTTAACCTAAGAGTATCTTCACAGTAGAACTTCTGTTTGGGTATTCATAACTTCTTCCGTTTTCACCTAGGCTCAGCTGCCTGTCACATACTTCTCTGATCATATTTGTGGGGCAGTCTAACCACTGCTAATTATCCTGTGCTTTGTATCATTTGATGGGATTGTTTTTTCAGCCATTACCCTCAGTTTCATACATTGGTGCCCCGCGCGTGCGTACACACTTAAGACGGGGCATTTGTATTTTGTGAGACTTTGACTAATCGCGCTTATTCTGAAAAACTTTTTGTCACTTTTCCCCCCAGTTTTTGGTGACTTTTAAGAAAATTGTACCACCAAAGTTCAGAGGAGTGTGTATAAGACAAAAGTGCTGATGAAGTGTCTTGCTTTGCCTAAAATGCTCTCAGAGACAGGTAGGAAATGGGAGATTATCTTCCACAGTTGTTGAGATAACCTCTCTCCCTCGTTTTCTCCCTCAGGTGTTTGGGTTTCTGGCAAGTTTGATGTTTCTGTTGGACTTCGCCATCATGCTCCATGGAAAACACCAGGAGACCCAGCTGAGAAAACCAGAGATGACCACCAGGGCAGAGGCCCTCACGGAACCACTGAACACTTAGGCTCTGGGGACAGACGTTACATAAGGTGGTGACTCTGCGTGATGCCTGAGCCCTGGTGCAAAGACGCTCTTGAAGAATTTGTGTGATTGTTGAGACCACTTCGTTTGGAGAGCGGGAGGGGAGGCAGACAGCGGTTTGTACCACCCTTGGACCATGTGTCAGTTCGCGAGGGGACCAGAGGCGTTTGGTTTTTAATTTTTCTTTATAACGGTTGAAACTTGCCTCAAATGTAGTTTTTTTTGGGGGGAGAGGCCAATTGTTTCTGTAAATCATATAGATCAACGGATGATAAATTATTCTGTCATCTTTTTTAATAAAATATTTTACTAGGCTTAGCTTCCAAATTATGCTTTATAGCTATATAAGCAATATAATTATTATGTTCCTCCTTTTAGACAGAGTTTCATTTTTAAATTTGTTTGCTTAGCTATGAGTTTATTTTTTGGTAAAAGAAACCAAATAAATAGACAATGATTAGATTATGTTTTGTTCACTCAAATTTAATGTCTGTTTAAGGATCAATACTTAAAATGTTGGTCTGGGTTTTTTCCTTAAAATATAATAACCGGATTTTACTGTGTCTTATTCAGCCTTAAAATTATATTGAGATATTTTAGGAAAATTATTACTAACTCTTTCTGCAGCCTTCTATAGCTTAATGTAAATTACATGTGAGAGTCATTGATATTTTATGTGTATAAAAGCAACAACATCGGCATCCCCCTGTTGCACTTTGGTTGTTGATGGTGATATTAAGTAAAAAAAAAAAAAAAAAGATGGTTATATAATGTAACACAGAAAAATTGAACAAACTGTTACAAGGCCTAGGGACCAAAGATAAAAAAGATCTATCTTTTGCCCAATACAGTGAAAGTAATTATAAAGCTGAGCTTCAGACACTTAGCAGATATCTGAAGAGATGAGCTCACACTGTGACTTAGAAGACGGTCTGTTCCCATGTTGGCATCCGATTATTTTTACCTAAGTTAATACAGCTCAGCTGGGCCCTCTTTAAAATTTTCTTTGGAGCCAAGTCTTCTTTTAAAACTCCATCTAAGAGGTCAGTCACTCTGGCCTTTGACTTTTCGTCTGTTCGAGATGCCCCCTTTTCTATCTTCTTATCAGAAAGGTCCACACAGTGTTGCGTTGTCTGGCCGAGTGGGCCTCGCTCTGACTCTTCTTTGTTGTCAGTTGTCTTTAGGTGGTCCAGAATCTCGGGCCCTTTCAACTCTAGCGAGTGTGTAGTGGGATCGTTAGGGTCCTTGTTCCCACAGAGACACTGCTCTGGTTTTCTTTGGAGGAGGTCTTCTAATAGAGTGACTATCTAGGAGAATCCTGTCCAGATTAATACTGTTGATGGTATAAGGGAGTAGTCAAACTAGTCCCATGAGACACTGTAATCAGTTCTGATAATGTGGAAGAATTTCCCATTCTGTCTTAGAGCCAGATGAATAGGGTACTTGGGATAAGACCTTTCTGACCACTTGGTTCACAGTCTAGACCTTTCTTCTCCTCCTCCTCCTCCTAGATTTTTGACTCGAGGCTCTAGGGTTAAGGTGATGAGTCCATGTGTCAGGTCCTTCAGTACTTTGCTGAAGGTCTCCTGACCTAGATTTTCTATCTGAAACAGTGGAATCATGTTTCCGGTGGTGATATTTAATGATCACATCTTTCTGTAGTTTCTCATCTGCCATCTGTGTGTTGTAGACGGGTTCCAGCTGCTTTAGCTGATCATCTCTAGTGTGGCCAGTGAGGTTCTCAGGAGTTGGTCAGTATGGCTGGACATAGCTTCTGCTCTGTTACTCAGGACGTTATCCGTTTGCATCAGAGCTTGGATGCTGGTGTTAGTGATGATGTCACCACTGCTTACTTGGGAAATAATGAAACTGATCATGGCTGGTGTTTTGACTGGACTTGTCATCTGAAGGACAAGAAATAACTTAGATCTTGGGTCCAAGAGTAAAGACTGGTTCAAAGATAACTGGTTTGTGGTGGGCAGGTTGTGGAATTCCACATGGAACTGCACCATTGTCGTTTTAAATGTCCTCTGTATCCAGCTAGAATTCACTTCCAGCCGTCTGGGCATTGGGCTTTAGTCGAGCTTGATGGCATATCCTCAGGTGGCCTCCCACATAAGGCATGAGGGCGTTGACCTTGAGTCCTTGTGGTTCTGAGGTTTCTCCATTTGTTTCATTGGTGCGGCAGTGAGCTGCCTCGCTGACCACTTAATCCATTCCTTTTCAGTAAGGTACAATGTTCGTTTGCTGGTGTTTCTGGTCACTCTGGAACCTTCCTTTACATGGTTTCTATGGGATCCATGACTAGTTAGCGTCTCCTATTGTGAAAGGAGTTAGGAGTGAAACGCTTATTATGGCAGATAAACAATTGAAGCAAAACTTGGCCAAAAACCACTGTTAGGTATAGAAAAGGGCCAACTCAATAAACTTAAAATAATCTTTTATTAATAACTGGTAAATTTGGTTTCTTATTTCATACAAATAAATTGCTGAGAATGGTTCTTAAGAATGAATTATAAGGGAAATGAACTTAAGATACAAAAATTTTCTAATTGCTATGCTTAAATTATGTTCTGTTTGGGGGCCAGGAAATGTATTTTTACATTGTTTATATAGCCAATCATTTTTGTATTTATCAATTTAAATCCTGTGGGTCTTTTTTTTTTAATCTAAATGTCAAATTTTGTAGTCTTTCTTTTAAATAAAGCCATTTTATTAAAATGTTCACACCCTTGTAGTTATTTAATTATTAGAAACACAATGTTTAGATGAAAGCTTCTCCAGAGTTCCAGGAGTCGGTTCTACAACATTATGGAGTACCTGCACAGAACACTGGATCGCTGATCTCCTCAGGCCCAGGGAGAAGGTAGGAAAGAAACAAGTCCAGTTCTGTCCACAAGCTTTCCCTCTTGTTGGAAAGTTGGAATACATATTCAAACGTTTTTAGGAAGCCATGTATGAAGAGTTACAAAGGAATGTTACGCTAAACTCCTTCAGACACTTCCAGAGCAGCCCATTTGTGTTCTCTGTCACATTTCTAAATGGGGCTAATAATACTGAGAACAACAGGCTCATTCTCTCTCGGAGTGTTCAGTGACTGGGCAAGGACGAGGCAAAACTAGGGTGGTTGTGGTAAAGCTAAAGCTATTTGTGTAGTTTGCAAAATTCCTGCCTTCGGCCTGTGTGAGAATAACAGGGTCTTTATAGTCATCAAGAACTTACTGTAATGTGTACATTCTTCGGAGTTTTGTGTTCTGTTTTGATTAAAGAGCAGTAATTACCAATGTGCAATCAGTTGCAAGGAGCAGAAGACCTAATTAAATGTCATACCCAGTAAGGCAAATTTATTTCACGAGAAGTCTGTGTAGAACAACTCCATGACTGGTGGTGACTTCTTCGTCTCCCCAGTGTCGTCAGGGACCCCGGTTCTGTCCACGTTTTTGCCTGTCCATCTTCTGCTGTAAGTTTTTATTCTCAGGGTTGACCCTTTCTGATGTAGCAACATCTCCAAGCGTCATGCACTTGCACAGCAATGGCCAAAGGTCAGAAGAGAAGGAATTAGGAATTCTTCTGCGTCTCTCTAAGGGACTCCTTTTTGCAGAAGCTTCTTCACCTACTTATTAGTCAGAATACATTAAATGCACAGTGCTAAATCAATTATTGACATGGAGAATGGAATTACTTTAATTCAGCTTAAAATAATCAAGATTCCCCTGCTTAAAACGGGAATAATGAGGCACAGCAGTCCAGGGCCAAGGACTAGAAGGCAGAAGGGGACAGGAAAACTGGTGATAGGGAACCTCAGGTCGAGTAAGGACAGTGTTGACGTGTAGTGAGGTTGTTAACCATTGTCATAGGGCAACGTGTACTAACTTGTTTAATGAGAAACTATTTTGTTCTGTAAACCTTCATCTAAAGTGAGAATAGCAGCAGAACTGGAAGAGCGTAGTTGATGTCACTGAAGTATGCATGTAGAAATTTTTGAAATGATGTATCTTTGGCTATGTATATTTTCACCAAAAAAAAAGGTCGAGAAGGGAGAGGGTTGACATGTCGTGGGGTTGTTAACCAATGTCATAAAACAATACGTGTACTACTGTTTCATGAGAAACTATTTGTTCTGTAAAGTACAATAAAAAAAAAAAAAAAAAAGATTAAAAAAAAAGATTCCCCCCCTTAGGTTGTGAAGGGGCGTACCCTTAGAAGCATATAGCCTTCTGATCCCTGAATAAAATTTTTTCTTTCAACAAGGGAAAGGGGCCTCTGGTTTAGGGATCAACAGTATCTGTCATAAGCACGTTAAGGATTGTACCCCAACCAAAGCAGCCAGTTGCTGTCTAGGTAATTCCAGTTCATGACAACCCTGTGTGTGTCACAGTAGAAGTGTGCTCCATAGGGTTTTCAGTAGCTGTGATGTTTCAGAAGTAGATCTCCAGGCCTTTCTTCTGAGGAACTTCTGGGTGGAGTGAAACTGCCGACATTTTGGTTAGTAGCTGAGCACCCAACCATTTATGTGAGCCAGGTAGCCCATACCCCAACTAAACCCACCGCTGTCAAGTCTATTCTGACTCATAGCGACAGAGTAGAGCTCTTTATGGAAGTAGATGGCCACATCTTTCTCCTGCAGAGTAGCTAGCTAGTGGGTTGGAACCACTGACCTTTGGGTTAGCAGCTGAGTGCCTTAACCACTGTGCCACCAATACCCCAACTAAGGGAAATAAAATTGGCGATGCTCTTATAAGAAATTAAATCCCCAGTTTAAGAAGTTTTTGTAGGACTGACTACCCCAAAACAAAATGGAAGAGCTGATATGTCTTAATTACCTAGTGCTGCTATAACAGAAATAACCTCAAGTGGATGGCTTTAACAAACACGTAACTTTCTCATAGTTTAAGAGGCTAGAAGTCTGAATTCAGGGCACCGACTTTATGGGAAGGCTTTCTCTGTTGGCTCTGGAGGAAGATCTTTGTCTCTTTTTACCTTCTGCTCGTGGGAGATCTTCACTTGGCTTGGCATCTCCCCCTCGCACACCCCCACCCCCACTTCTCGCTTGCTTGTTTAATCTTTTATACCTCAGAAGAGATTGACTCAAACCCTACACCGATCCTGCCTCATTAGCATAACAAAGACAGCCCATTCCCAAATAGGATTCTAACCATATAACCATAGGCATAGAGGTTAGGATTTACAACACACAGTATGGGGGACGTAATTCAATCTGTAACAGTGAGTTATTTTTTTAGAGTAAATTTTAATTCTATAAGTAATGTGTATCATAGAAAATTGGTTTAATAAGAGGTGGGAAATATTCTTTACCCAGATAGACTTTACATTTGCTACTTCTATTTTTAATTTCTGAAGTATTTCAAACACTGAAAGTACAGAGAGTAATGCCCCCTGTTGAAGACACCACTGAGCTTTGACACATCGTAACGGTTTGCCATATTGGCTTCCTATTTGCCTTTGCCTTAAAAATAAAGGAAAAGTTATACTTTTAAAGAACTACAACCTCTAATCTAATTCTCCTTTTCCCAAAGGTAAACCCTCTCTTGAATTTGATAGTTATCTTTCCTGTCTGTGCTTTTATTGTCTGCTATGTACAGATGCATCCATGAACAGCGTATAACATGGTCATGTGCTATGTGTATGAGTTCATAGCTTGCAGGTTTCAATCAATTTTGTAGTCTGGTACACGTAACTCTAGTTCATTCATTTTAGGTGCTGTTTGGTATTTGTATGAATATGCCACAATTATTGTTCCCCAGTGG